AGAGAGAGAGAGAGAGAGAGAGAGAGAGAGGGGGGGGGGAGGGTCTGGGAGAGAGACTCTCCCTCGCACTCTCTCTCGGGAACGGTGAAATGCTTTCACAATGTCTTCCTTATCTTTGCCCCCATTGCAGGACACGTCTTTGGTCGGACATCCCCAGATTACTCTCCTGTGATGGCCTTTCGGTGGGTTGATCCGTAGCTTGTTGATGCTGAGTGGAGCGATCGATCCCTACCTTCGATTCCCTAAGGTTGAGTTTTCTTCCTGCTTTGGCCCTCCTCGTTACTCTTGAGATGGTTTCCTTGCTTTGGGTGAGGGGTTTTGGTGCGTTTCCTGTAGTTTCTGTTCGACTGCTTGGAGCAGAGATTGGGTTTTTCTGCATGCTTGATAGGGTTTCTTTGTAAGAATGTGGTGATTGGGATCTTATGAGTTACGAAGATGTCGTAATGCGGTTGTGCTATAGAGCGATGATGATTTGGTTTGCATTTGGTGATGATCATGCGAGGGGCCTTTTTTTAGGTTGAGAATCGAGATTATGTGCTAGAATTTGGGATTTATGAAAGATTTACCTTTCGTTTTTTTTTCAGACTTGAGTCTAAAATGTCTTCTTTTTCTTTTCCATTTCTGCAAGAACATTTCCTTTTTTCCTGTGGGGAGGCAAATGCAAGGTTTACTCCAACCATTTGTGGTCTGTAATGGCAAGTTTCTGTAGATGTTTTGCTTGTTGTTTCCATTTCTATATAGATGAGTTTATTTAAATGTTATCATGCATATATAGAGTATATAGCTGTGTTGATACTAAATATTGGGGTTTGGTTGGTTCTCTTTGTGTAATTTTTCTTGTCGAATCTGTAATTCTCAGGAAAAGTGAAAGAAATCTTTCCCTGGTGATGTCGATTAGATGAAGTATTTTGGATTAGTGATTAAGGTAACTTAATCACAAAAGTTTAGGTTTTTCAGTGACATATACAATCATTTCTATTGTGGACAAGTATTGTCAATGACAATGCCAGCATCAAATGTGAATATATCACTTGTATCCAAGGAGGAACAGATGTTGGGATTGCATTTTGGCAGAAAAATCATGAGTTTGGCGGGTGATGAGTTTGAGGATTCCATTCCGGAAAATCAGATATTTGCTGAGATTTTCTTGGAGTTTGACGAGAATGGTGTCAGCAAAACCAATGATGCATTCGATACTGGGGATTTTAGACTAAGTGAGGATTCCCTGAGTAAAGTGCTTGTTAACACCAGCTATGAAAGTGGCATCTCAGCGAGTTTATCTCTTGAAGAGTCAACTGACAATGCTTTCAAGCATGAAAAGATGAATCTTGAGCATGGACAAGAATGTCCGAAGAGCAGTTTCTCGTATTGGGCTAAATCAGATGTCCATAAAATAAATTTGAAGCAGATGAATCTTTCATTTAGCCAGCATTTAAGCTTCAAGGATAGTGCTCAAAGATGTAATAGTGTTTGTCAAATAAAACCATGCCACATTGTTGAATCTTTCGATCAGAGTATCAAATCTAGCTACTATGTGTTTGATTCTGTGGATGTTTTCTGTGACCTCAGTGATGAAAGACAAAGTACACAGAAGCATAATGGAAATACAAATGCTAATTTAAACAGCTCTCCTTGTCCTCAAGAAGATCATGCTCCTACGAAGTTGATGCCTGTCACACCTGTCACTACCAAAGAGTTGCCTCTGCCACTGACGTACATGAACATAAAAAAGACATTGTTGAATACCCCGAATTCGAAGACAGTCGATGTTGGAGGAAACAGGGCCTTGCCGACAGATCTGTCCACCAGTCTTCGTTCACATGCCCATCACCTCTTGATGGATGCTGGCTGGAAGATTTGTATTCATTCAAGGAAAGATGGACGCAAATTTGATTTAATTTATTATCCACCAGCAGAAGGAGCTCAACTATATTCACTTAGTAGAGCTTGGATATCATGTGGTGTCGAGTTATCTGCAAATACTTCAAATATAAGAGAGGAAGAAAGTGGAAGAGTATGGACTGATATCAATGCATTTTCTGGAGACTTAGCAGATGTCCTGGAGTTCATCAAAATGGAAATTCGGCACCCTGAAAACTCCCTGTCTCTTCTGCAGCGTTGGGTTCTTCTTGATCCATTCGTGGCTGTTGTGTGCATCAATAAAAAGATCAGTGCCCTGCGAAAGGGAACTGCAGTAAAAGCAGTAAATAGTATGACAACTGTTCTCGGAGGAACTGAAAGTTTGGGCTTACTGAGGAGTGATGTCAATGGGGTTCTGCATAATTCACGTTCACTATGCAGTTCAGAGCGGAGTCTTCTTTCAGATATTGTGTCTGATGGCAAGAGTTCTGCGCTAGGTTGTCCTGCTCCTGATTTAAGAGACAAGCGTAACCATCACAGGGTACGCCAAGAACATTTCTTTAAGGCAAGTGCAGAAAGTAGAAGCATTCGAAGCCTCGATGGACAAAAATGGAAAGGATGTCATGATGCTAGGGATTTGCTTGGCAGGGATTCCAAAGCATCATGTATGTTGCATAAATTAAACCTATCATCTGGCGTTCCCAAAGTGATCCAGAAAGATTCGTGCTTATCTAGTTCACTAAGACTCCCGACAGAAGCTGCAAGCCAGAAAAATGAGAAACTGTTCTTGAATAAAATCCTTAGTGCTGATAGTCCTAACAAACAGTCAGTAGTTCATCCTAAAGAGAAGAGATCACATCAAGATACAGACAGCCTCTCTAAGAAGGCACAACTTGGTCGTGTGGACACACAGGCTTTTAATGCAAAGGAAGTCACTGAACAGCACAGATCAAGTTGCTCTAAAGGAGGTCATAGAGTTGAAAGTTCCATGGAATATCCAGTTGCACATGAGAATGAAGTGATAGAAGAACGAAAGAGAACCTCTGGTAGCTATGGTAACTTATCCACAGCAAATCAGTCATCTCAACATCAAATGAACGAGCAACATAACGTATTGCTTTATCCTCCAGGGGGAACTTTGTTTTTTACAATGGATGATAACCAGAGGGAACCACTATTAGCTCACTTGGTTACCACTAATGCCAATGGCAGCACAAATATCCATCAACAAGTGCAACCTTTGGTATATCAAGCAAACCTAGTGACAGGAGTTTTTGTCGTTGGCACTAACAATAATATGCTATATAATGTGGGCTTTCCGGTCTATCAGGGAGTTCTAAATCCAGTGAACCAAGATGGCCTTGGGGCGACTAAAGAGCTGGCAACGAGGAGCACTGAAAATGAGATAGTTCAGCATAAAAGGAAAAAACAAAGAATTTCCAGAGCTTCAAAATGTGAAACTAAGCAAACATTTGAGACTCCCTTAGTCACAAAGGCACAAAATAAAAAGAATATATCAAAGATCAAAGAAGCCAAAATGGGTGGCCAAACTGCTATAGCAAATCCACCCAGTCAAAACTACAGAGAGGTTGTCGGATTTGATGGAGATGAGATATCAGAGTCCAATTCAGGCTGCTTAAAAGAGTCAAGTCTTGAAAAGAAGAGTTTCAATGTTTCAGAAATTGGAAAGAAGTATGCTTCTCCAACAGTCAAAACTAGTTCTAGGATGATACATAAGAATACTGCAAAACTGGGAGTAAGAGCAAGGAAGAGGTATAACAAGGATGAGAGGGGTTGGCCTATAATGGATTTGGGGGATAGAGGAGATACATTGATGAAACTAAATCAAAACGATGTGCTTGAGCTTAGGTTGTCTGAAGGTGATAGCAATCACCTTAGAATGAACTCACAGAAATCTACCTGTTGCAGATCCTCCCACCCTAGGAACTCATCTGAAAAGAAAAATGTACAGGAGCAGCTTCTTGATTTTACAGAATCGAATAGTATGTTGTATAACATTAGCATTTCCCAAGAGCCCCATCGTGAAAGCTGCTTACATACTTCTGTGATTCTGCTTGACGGCAAGCTTCCATTTTCTGGGAACAACCTCGAAGTTAGCAAAGTAAAGAGGCCAGAAATATTTAAGGAAAATAAGCAGAAGCAGCAGAGTAAGGGTCACGCCAATGATGATGACCTTTTTATTGCTACTATTGTCAAACGAAAAGGATGCAGGTCTGCTAGTAGAGAGATCATTTCAAAAGTGGGGTCATTGGATGCATCTGAAAAGCTGAGAAGTCGAAATGGAGATCACAAATTATTTCAGAACAATGCAGGAGAAGGTGGAAAGATAAGTAATGTCAAGCGCTCCATAGGACGAAGAACAGTGTTGTGTAGGTTGATTGAAATGGGGGTCATATCTGTACGTAACACATTCCAGTATTGTGAACTAAAGGATAGCACGGTGGTAAAGGATGGACGGGTCACTAAGAATGGAATTCTTTGTAGGTGCTGCAAGAAGTTCTTTTCAATATCCGAGTTTAAGCTTCATGCAGGTGACATGCTCCAAAAACCCTGTTTGAATCTTTTCCTTCGCTCTGGTAAGTCATACGTTCTCTGTCAACTTCAAGCTTGGTCTCTCGAGTACAAAACAAGGAAAGATGCTATTCCTGTGATGGATGATGAGGAGACTGAACAAAATGATGACACCTGTGGACACTGTGGTGATGGCGGTGAATTAATATGCTGTGATAACTGTCCCTCTTCTTATCATCAAGCATGCTTACTTTCAAAGGTTTGTCCTACACTAGTCCATTTTTGTTTTGCATATTTACTGTTTTATCTAGTATATGTATCTGTTCTGCATATATAGATTCGACATATAAGCAGTCAAGTATGCTTATTCTGTTTGTTGATGCTTTTCAAGGTTTTTATGCTTGATAAGTCATTAATTACATATCTTAGATCTTGTTATTTTTTCAATTTGGTTATAGATTTAGAAAATTTCAGCTTTTTGAATATTCAGATTGTTTATGTCATGCATGTTTTAGCATCAAACAAATAAGTAAATAAATGATTGTTGATTTGAACATTATGCTTATGGAGTTGGGACTATAGTTCATAAAGTCAAAATCAGATCAAATTGATTGGTTGTGGTTTAATAAGATTTAGTCCGATTAGGTAAGCAGGACTGGAATTGGTGTGAAAAAAGGAGGGATCACATGCATGTGCAACCCTTTCTCAAATAGTAGTAAAAAGGTACTACTAGTCCAACATCAATCCAAATAAAAAAAGAAGAAATCAAGGTAAAAAGAAAAACACTTACAGATCTTGAATGACACTTAGACTTCAGCTCTATTGACTTGAATACTAAGACTTGGATTGATCTACACATCTAGATGTCACCTATTTATAGATATGAAATACAAGAGTCCCTAATCTCTACAAAAAACTCTATCTAATCTTATTTAAAAGATAAGACATCAATTTGAAATATTTCAAAATATATTTTAATTTTTTAAACTAAGAATTTCTTATCTTTATAATTATATCTAATCTTATTTAAAAAGTAAAAATATTTATTTGTGATCTTCCAAAATATACTTTAATTTCTTAACAATTGGTCCAGAAAATAAATTAAAAATGAGAACAAAAATAAAATTCATAAATAAGAAACTAGAAAGTATTAGAAAAACAAAAAAAAGTATACTAGAGCATGAGATGCATAAGTTATTAATTGTTGTAAAAAATCTTACATAACTTTTGGCTCCTGGGGCAAATTATGCATTGTCATCTTTTCCCAATTTATCTTCAGCTTAAGATAGAAAACTAGACTCCAAAAGCATTGAGGAAATTATATATTCATATCATAACAACATGAAAAGAAAACCGTAAAACTTATACTAACATTTACATTGGGTTAGTCTAGACACTAGGATCTAAACGACTAGGTGTCCTGGTTCTAACATCATTGAAAACCTTAGTGCTATCCTCCATAGATTGTTATCATTTTCTTCTTTCCTAAGTAACTTTTGTGTACACATCATTCTAGTTAATCATCCAACACAATCTTAATATATTAATTAAACTACTTTAACCTTTTCCTGAAATATATTCTTTTATCATGTTTGTCTGTAAATGTTTATCTTTCTTCACAACCTTTTATTTTCATGCAGGAACTTCCAGAAGATAGATGGTATTGTCCTAATTGCATTTGTGATGTATGTGGGGTTGTAGTTAACATAATGGAGGCACCAAGTGCCATGGCCACTTTAGAATGCTCACAATGTCAACATCGATGTAATGCTTCTCATTTTCATTTAAGTGCTCCTTTTATTTTCTGTACTAATTTACTTTATCCTCCACCGAATTATCATAAATATTTTGTTTTATCATAGATCATTGACTTCCTAGTTAGAGTTTTGATGTGCAAAGAGCACTATCTAGTTATTAAATTAAAAATGCTTTTGTTATGGCAGTAAGCTAATGATGCAATTGATCATAAATATAATTCACATGTTTTTGCTATCAACTTGTTGCTTTTATTTTTTATTTTTTCGTCCTCACGTATTGAAGTTTACCTATAGTTCTTATTAGTTCACGTTTCTTGTTTATTAAATTTGATTAATTCTTTGGGAAGCATAATAGCTCATTTTTATATTGCTATTCCAACATAATTGCTAGATTAGGACCAGGACAAAAATACAATGTTGAGGATGCCAATGATTGTTGTATAAATTGCAAGACATACCACCAGTATGTATAAATTGCATCAGAATTATTATTTTTGCATCGTCATTGCTGAAATTTTATAAAATCTATCTTGTAAGAACTTCCAGAAGCAATGCTTTAAACTCATGTCCGTTTATATTTGCTAGTTTATATATGCTTTGCTCCCCACTAAATGTTCACTACCATTACAGACCATGATAAATGCATAAAAGAGAAGGTCACACGTAATGAAGAAGTGGCATCTAGAACTTGGTTTTGTGGAGTTGACTGCCAAGAGGTATGTTCCATTTCAAATTTAATGATGTGTCTAATCCATCTGGCATAATCTGTCAAGGAATTCATCAAAGCTTATTTATTTTGTAGACAAATCTATGATTGTAAAAGTGGTAATTTATGAAGCTAAAAAAAAAAGAAGGGTTGATGTACATTCAAATAGTTATGCACATAAGCAAATTGTCTATTTGCAGTAGTTATCCTTTGTCGCCGTAGCTCCCTGCCGTCGTCAACCATTGGCTGTCGTAGCTGCTCCTTTGCTCTCAGTGACTGCCCTCATCACCAGTCTTCCTTCCTTTCCCCTCCTTTGCCTTCCATCGCTGCCCCTTCCACTTCGTTCCTACACCCTCCATCACGGCTCCTTCTCCGGCCACTCTCTTCGGCTGCCACTCCATCCTCCCCATTATTGTCTCACCCTCACTGTCTTTCAAGGTGGTTAGGACTCTATCATGCTGCTTATAGTAGTCCACCTGGTACCAACTGGTGCTAACTCATACTGACACTCGGTATACTGTATGGTGCTCGCATTTTACCAGTCTGGACATCTACTGGTTTGGGTACCAATAGAGATTTTAAATCTTGGTTAATATTATGAATTTCTACTTCTACTAGATACATTCCTTGAGGAGAGGTTGGATACCGCCATTTGGAAGAAGACAACCCTGAATATTGTGACCAGATGATCTTGGGTTGCCCTATTGGGAGCCGAACCATAGAGGTCCCTTCAACATTTTCCTTTTAGTTTTCCCTTCTTGAAGCTCTCGTGAAAGATTAGAAGTTTTTTAACCAGACATTGACTTCTTCTTGGAAACCTCAGATTATTAGGTGGAGTTAATGATAGGAACAACAGGTGACCTTAATTTCAAGGTAGGCAAAGCTGACACTAATATTGGTATGACTGCATGTTTTGGTGGCTTGTAGATTGACCCTCTACTGGACCTAATAGTGCATGGCTTAGAGCCATCCTTGCTGCGCATGTCGTTGGTCTCTCTCTTATAAAGGAGAAAACTGCTGATGTATTCTTTCCTCTTAGGTAGAGTTGGATAATATATCATAAGAATTCATGTGCATCATGAGATAGTTTTGATTTTGTTTTTCTCAGATTACTCCATACTACTGGCTCTTTTATGCCTCCTTTGTTTCTGGCATATTATTCATATTAATAATATTTTAATCTATGATTTCTTTTCTTTCTAATTAAAACATCATTTCATTTTTCTCATTCTCTCAGGTTTACCTAGGTTTACGTTCTCTTGTGGGTGTCATGAACTGTGTTGGTGATGGGTTCTCATCAACAGTTCTTAGATGCAATCATGGTGATAAAACACTCCAGTCTGCAGAAGAAATTGCTGTAGTGGCAGAATGCAACATGAAGTTGGCTATTGCCTTGAGTATTATGGAGGAATGCTTTCTACCCATGGTAGATCTAAAAACAGGAATTGACATGATTCCACATATCTTGTACAACTGGGGGTAAGGTTCTCATCAGTTCATATATTTTGAGTTGAATTTTTCATGGCAGAATGCTTGAGCCACTAATTGTATTTTGTGGTTTTGTTGTAAAATGTTAGCTATTTGTCAAATTTATACCAAAAAAACTACATTGTAGCTGTTCCAAGATATTCTTATTCCTGCTCTGTAATGGTAGCAAGCAACACTGTCCAACAAATTTGAAGTGGAGATTTGCATAGTTTTTCCTCTTTTGGTTTTCATATTTAATGTACTTTTAAAGTGGAACATTTTTGTTGGAAACATGCATTTCAGGTCTAAACTTCCACGCTTGAACTATAAAGGGTTCTACACTGCAGTGTTAGAAAAGAATGATGAGCTTATCTCTGTAGCATCCATCAGGTACTTCTGACAACAAAATTTTATCATCCTTGTAACCAAATTTTATCTTTCTTAATTAATACTTGTGCAGGAAATTAATTATCTCTTATGTGAGATGTCTTTTGATGAATGTTAGTTTTGATGGTAGAGTTCTCTGATAGTTTACGTTTAGTTCTCTTGTTTAAAGACTAAATTTCCTGTTAACAAAGAAAATATCTTAGAATTATTTAAGTAAGAGAATTGAAGTTCTCTACACAAAATTTAATAAACAGACTTAAAAAGTTTGATCAATGTCAACTATACAGAGCAGCTTTGTAGCAGCCAAAAGCAGATGAGAAAGTAGGCTGTTTCTATCAGGTAAATCTAGGTTTACCAAACAATTACATAGAAATCAATTATTGTTTGGGACATTGGAATTCAACAAATAGAGGACAAAGTGAAAACGTTGAAGATTTAGGCAATGTGGAGACACATGCTCACACATGGGATACCCATATTAGCAAAAGACTTGTAGCTAGGATTTGCAGCAATAAGAATGCTTCTGGTAAAATCTTTTCAGCAATTTAATGTCATGAGGGACCTAGTGAAAAGTATTGCTATAGAATAATTCTAAGCTCCTAAATGATATATTAGACTCATAGACTGTAGAAAAGACTCGCTGATCAATTAAAAATTTTACAGTCATGGAACTGGATATTTTCTACTCATAAATATTAGATGTTACATATTTTATTGCTGAAGATTTCTAAATACGAAGAATTAAAAGAACCCTATTACTCTCTGTAGGATTCACAGTGTTAAGGTCGCAGAAATGCCTCTTATAGCAACTCGATCTGAGCATCGTCGCCGAGGAATGTGCAGGCGCCTTTTGGCAGCAATTGAAGAGGTATCCATTTTTATATCTAAATTGATCTAAATTATTTAGATCTGAACTAGTGCATATTGATAATACTAAAAGAGAGAGCATACCGGTTTGTATCATTTTTCATAATTATCTGCTGTGGTTTTTGCTTGAGGACTGTTCAATGCCTCTATGAGGCACATTCATATCTGTGGTACGTGGCTCTTTCTGGATTGGCTTGTGTTCAAAGACTATGTCCTAGAACAATTCCGTAACTTATTTTTAAGGTTTGGTACCAAGAGTCTTTAGGCTTGCTTCCTAAGGTCTACAGGGTTGCTTTTCTCCATGGCTTAGCTATGCTTTGTTTAGTTTTTCTTTTGGTACCTTGTTCACATGCTTTTCATAATGTTCTGCATTGTGCATGGAAAAGAGTGCTAGATTTTCTTCATGGATTTTGTTTGATCCCTCTAGTAGCACAAATGAAAAGTTCTCCAAATTCTCTATTAAAATTTTCCTGGTACACGTTTGCTCGTCTTTAATTAGCAAAATGATAGGTCAGCCAATGTGGTCAGAAGACTCAGAACTAACATAAGCTGCGCAAGGGTCTGTTTCTGTGAAACTTGTAAGCAGCACTACTAAAATGAACCATATGCATACTACCTGCACATATGAATCAGTTACATTCTTGTTCTTCTGTAATTCTGATATTTTCTTTGGCTTAATGTTATACTATTTAAATAGTTTCTATTTTGGTTTTTATTTCTTCTGCTTGATATTAGTTGATTTTTATGCAATTTTTTAACTCTTGACTTTCTTCGAGACAGATGTTGAAATCTTTGAAGGTTGAAATGCTGGTTTTATCGGCAATTCCTACTTTAGTTGAAACCTGGACATCAGTTTTTGGGTTCAAGCAACTTGAAGATACTGAGAAATGGCTACAAAACATCGATCTCATGTCATTTCCAGGGACAGTGTTGCTGAAAAAGAGCTTATATGATGCAACAACTAAAACATCAGGTCCTTTTCCCCGCTTGATCTGTGTTTTGACATTATTTTTTCTCCTGTTTCTAGTTATTCAATTTGTCCAAGTAGACTAAGAATATTTTTCTAATAATCAAATCAGAATTTGGCCGTTGCTCTCTTTCTGCAATCAGCTTTCAGGTTCAAATCTTGTGGAATGTGTTTCCCAAGTGATTGAACTGGCAAGTTATATTGCTGTGGCCATGTTGGCCCTGTCTCATACATAATAATAACTATTAGAAAATGGTTTATGACTTTACGTTCTAATGTCCAAAAACTTCACATAGGCTACCTCAGGACCAAAACATGAATTTTATTCAAGCAAAGATCAATCTCAAAATTTTGGCACTTATGATGAAAACCTGCACTCGAGTGCTCATGATACATCTAAACCGAAAGCAAACATGATTGTGCCATTAGAAGAAATGCAAATTGTTCATTTTAGAAATATATAACCTTGTAAAACTCATTTCATGACTGCTAAACATAACCGACAAGGTAATCTTAGAAATGAAAGAATCTACAGGTCGAGTTTAAAATTCTCCAACAAGTTTGAGTTTCTCAGACTCTTCTGCAATATATTCTGATTCTGACTCTTTTATCTCTTCCAGCTACCAATGATGAAGTCCCAACCAGGCCGAGTTCTAGCGGCATGCAGGGAATGATGAAGGACGGAAACACCCAGGAACGGTAATGCAGATGCCACAACAAAGCATGGTAAAGAATTTGAATATGTATGAAGCTAAAAACACTTGATTCGAAGCATTTGTGATTGTAGATGTGGAGTTTAAAGTGTTAAACAAGCTGAAGCTTCGACAGTAGTTCGGCCAGTTTCCACAGGATGCTTCCCCCAGTACATTGGTTCTGATGATTTTGCCTTGACACCAGTAATCACCTCCAGTGCACTTAGTGGTTTGTCCCTAAGAATGGAGCCCTTTAAACTTGAGCTGGTTATATTGCCATGACATACTTTATGCATAGGCATTATTGTTGCAGAAAAGAAATGCATGGATCAAGAATGTGGTAATTGAATCATAAAATATAGTGTGGTAGTTTCCTTGGCAAGTTTTCAGTTAAGAAGATGGAGATATCTTGAGAGTTTCCTGCTGGAATTATATACCAGCATACATGAAACTAATGTGCATGACCAGAATATAGCTGAGATAACAGGGATCTTCTTTGGAGAAGCTGCAATACATGAGTGAACCAATTGAAGGCTGCTCATGTTCAAAACAGGTGTGTGTATTCAATGCAAGCCTTAGGGGTACTGTGGATGTCGGTTGCATGATATGAAACCACAGATGATTGATATCTTTGGTCACAACTTAGTGCAAATTATCATCAGCAAAGATTTAGAGTTGACCACATCAACGCACTAATAATTGAGATTAGACTTAATTACTTGAGAATCCCATATCCAGTGATCCCAAGTAAGTTGATTGGTAAGTTATGTGCTAATGTGACCACATCACATAAATATGCCCATAATAAGTGAATTTTGACTACCTTAAACTCATCTCTTAACCATTTCCACCTCAAACTTGATTGATACAAAGGACCCCCTGATTCGATTCAAGTAAAATACATTTGTTGTCATCTAAGAATTCTATCTGTGGCTTATTGACAAATTTTACCTACATGTTCTTAAATTGACTAACTAAAAGAATTCAAACTTAATTTAGATATTTCTTGCAAGGAGAAGGGGGTAAAAGAAAACAGGATACAGTTTCATAATTTTGAAGAATTCAAACTTGTCAGATGTACAACTATCAAATTTATGTCTCAAATATATGGTTTTTTTATCTTTCTCCTTTAATTGGATACACGACAATAATAACTTGACAAACGAAAAAAAAAAAAAAAGGTACTAAGATTAATGAGATATTAAGGGAACCTGTCTTGAACTTCACAATAATTAAATATAATAGACATACCATCAGTTATTTTGTGAATATTCATGGAAAATTAGACAGCTAATTAATAATTTGACATTGGAACATATTGCACATGAAATAAAACATGCAAGTAAACATTGGGAAGTGTAATCTATTTTCTTCTGACACCCATTGAGATGAACATCTCATAAATTTTCTATTCATTGAGCAGATCACTCAAAATATGCTACAGACTGCGGATGTCACCAAAAAGATGATTACAAAGATTTTGCTCAATGATGGAAAATACATAAGCTAAGAATAGCATCCAAATGAACATACAAACTGTGGGTGTCAAGGTTTCCATATTTTCAATGTACAATCTTCACCGTAAGTGACGACCAAATTTCTGTGAGGGTGATGAGTTACGCCAATCACATCTTTGTCATGAACCTGCGAGCAAAGACATAGGAAAGAGTCCACAAATCTATGATTAATTTGATCATCCTCATCAACTGGAATTAGAAATTTTGACCCTTAGATATGCATTTTAAAACATGACATCTCAGGTTAAATTCCAAGTTCCAGAAAAGTTGTGAATGATCTGGGGTCGAGTAAAAAGTTCAAAATGATTCCTGTAACTGCATGATATTTAATAATTCCTGAAGGAAACTCATCCAATTAACAAGTGAAAGACACACAAACGGGAAAGAACAGAAAGAGGAACGAAAGGTGAGAATATCACAAGGAAATCACGGTGTACCATAATTGGTTATTGAATTGACAGAAGTTACAGACAAACAATTGAAGTTAAAGATGGATTTTCAGGATGGCGATAATTAGAGTTGGTGAAACAAATCATACTAAGAATAGTCATGAGAAAGATCACAAGGAAATCCACTTTAATCCTCTCATTTTTCTACTGTATTTTCATCTTATGTAGACTTTGTTGACCTAACAGAGTAGGGTCAACAATTTTTAATATAAAGGGCAAACCCCAGACATGCCAAACAGGGTCTGGCAAGGGGTCAGTATACTATTCTTTCACTTGCAGTTTGAAAACGCAACATACTTTTCTTTCTCGGGAAAAGTGGTAGAAAATAACTTCTTTCTGAGCATATCACCAAATTCTAATGACGAAGCTCATTTTCTGCCAACAAATATGGCAGAACTTTTTACTAAAAGATGATAAAGTAAAGCAGAATTATTCTGATTCAACTTTCTTAAGAAGAGTAGAAGAGCAAGGATTGTTCTTTCTCCAATGTTTTAATCTTGTTTCAAATGTCTCAAAATTTAAGAGATGTGTAAGCTTCTAACACATGCAATATAATATCCATGTATGATACTTCTATCAAACGCAGAAAGTCTGCAGATAATCTAATACATATCAGATGCTTTCATGGTATGGTTTTATGTAGTTCTTAACTCCTAGGAAAGGGAGATATAACATGGCACTTGACTGCACATATTGTATAGTTACTGGAAGGAATTTGTCTTATTGCATGGAGAACTGGAGCTTGAGCAACTGATTCTAACGATACCTTTTAAGTTTTAACTCATTTAAATGCTTTTCTTTTTTCAGGTGCTTAAAATATATTGTCATGAAATTAGCTTCCTTCCATTTTATATTAGCTAGGATAAGTTATAATAAAAAGGTTTGCCAATAAGTTAAACCATAATCGAATTATAATGCAAAAGCTATATATAGGCAGAGGTAGGGACAAAGGAACCAGAATTTCAGAGCTAGAGTTGCTGAGACAGGCTCAAGTCTTAGTATGGCACAAGAATATGACCAGATATTGGATCAATGGTCACAAGAGAGGAGATCAAAGGCGAGGAGACGGGGGGAAATGAAGCCAAGGATAATGAGTCTACGGTGGAGAAGTGCAGGGGTAGTGGAGAGATATTACTACGGTAGTCGGTAGAAAGAGGGGACCTAGCATAGTGAGTCAGACCAAGATTACGGGCTACCTGGATTTGCTCTAGTAATTGGAAGTTTCTTGGTATTTATGGAACAAACTGACTTGACCATAATAATCTTCTAAAATCGTCTTATTAACCTTTCCAAAACTTCCAGTCTACAGGTACGAACAGAGATGAGATACCATCATTTTCTCATGTTCTGGAAACCAATCAGATCTTTTGCATAACAAAAAGAAGAAAATTGTGCACAACATGACTGCTAAACCTACTAAACAGCATAGACCAACATCACTAACCTTCATCAAGTGTTCCAGCTTACCGGACTGGTGGCTGAAACAATACATATTCCTGCAGATTATTAAAACAAACCAAGACATCAAATACCAAATTAATTTCAAATATTCTATGGACTTAACCATATAAGAGCCAAGTAACAAAAAGTGAAAGAAATATTACTTAAAGCATTCAACAATGCCAAATGGCAAGGGATAATGCAGTATGCAGAATTTTCATACATCATTAGATGAGTTGATCTGAAAGAAAAGGCAAACAAAGGCCACTACTGTCTGTCTCAAATAAGTTTTAAGATAACCATACAACATTAAGCAGCAAAAATAGAAAAACCAACAATTAAGATGGTTACAGGTTGCGCAAGATCTTTCATGGTTTATTTGTTTGCATATGTGGAGATAGCACTCATATTATCCACACAAATCTAGAACACTAAAACATCTTCATCCATGCACATCTCTTTGATGAATGTATATGTAGCTAAAGGGACTTAAGGATATTATGTACACTATCTGATTGCCATGCCTACAATGCCTGCAAAACACAATTGCAATGCAACTGCAAATGTTGTAATAATGATTGTAATTACAGCTATTTGGTTGGCTACTATTACAATTTCCAGTAGATTGCATGTGTCTCAAGTGTCTCTATTGCAGGTGCTTGGTTTCTTGTAAAGCATCCTGTTACCTGAACATACATTTGCAAACTGCTACACTACTTCCTGCTTTACTTGTAGGCAAATAAATCACTAGTGTACTTGCAAAGGGTAGTGCATTAGTTGTAAATGTACTCCCATGTAAAAGTGTACTTCAACACGACCAAAGACTTGCAACCAGGCCATTTGCTGCATCGAATCTTACAGGCGGCACAGTTGCAGGTATGTACAAAAGTGCAAGCCTTTACATAAAATATATATATTGGTAGTGTATGCTTGAGCATCTATATGCACATCAAGCACATTGTAACTATATATATATGTGTATGTATATATATATATACATATATATGTATATATAGACATATATATATAGCCAAAGCTTTTCAAAATTTTTAATTCAAATACCTCATTTACAAATTTGGCCGTGTACCGATGAAAAATAGCATATATTGGTAGTGTATGCTTGCGCATCTATATGCACATCAAGCACATTGTGACTAATATATATATATATATATATATATATATATATATATATATATAGAGAGAGAGAGAGAGAGAGAGAGACAAAGCTTTTCAAATTTTTTAATCCAAATACCTCATTTACAAATTTAGCCATGGACCGATGAAAAATAACATACACAGAGACATGCCTATATAAATATCATCTAATTCATACGCATTAGTGCATAGCATATCAACATGTAATGCATCTAAAATTAAACACTGCATGGATGGTCAGGCCCTAGGTACATATCCACATGTATTCTCAACTACTCTGCTGGTACATCAGATTAGGCAGTGGAATAGTTCAATTTAGGTAACAAAAAGGCAACTAGATCTATTACTGAGAAAAGCAAAGGACAAAGTACAAACAAGAAAGAATAGAAAGCTGCAAAAGAAAAGTTTCCCATACATGTCTTCACCAACACAGTAGATCCATTCTCCTTTTGGGGAAACACAAGCTGCAACAAAATCTCCACCTTCTCTCTTCCCAGAAGAGAAGCTTTTTACAACCTGCAAGAGCACCAATAAACTCTTCTTTAGATATATTACAAGTTAACATTCAAAAAGACTGAGCCAATGAAAAT